GCAGAGGGTACTTATCTGCACGTGTTATTGCGTTTAAGCGTCGATAGTCTACTGTTAATCTGATACCTCCATCTTTCTTAGGCACAAGTACCACGGGTGAAGCATATGGGGACTCACACTCTTCGATTATGCCTTGAGCCAAAAGTTTATCTAATTCCTGACGCAGTAATTGCCTTTTGGGCTCTGACATACGGTAAGGTGGAACAGATATGGGTACATCATCAACCAACACAATGGAGTGTTCAGCATATGGAGTAGGGTCTTTATTATATACAAATAAATCAGAATTTTCCTTAACAATGTTGTTAAGATTGGATCTTTCTTCTAAGGATAGAGAAATTCCTTCATCTGCTCGTAGTTCTAAATGAGCAAGAGTAACGCTATTGACCTGGCAAGGAGAGCTGACCTGAGCTGGATCTGGAGCAAATGAGTAGGGGATATTAGGGACATCACCATAAAACCATGAGTCATTAGGAATGTCTAGAATGATGTTAGCTTTTCTTAAGAAGTCTGCCCCCAGTAAGGTACGACTATTTGTGTGTGTGGGCACAGAAATTAAGGAAATGCTATGAGAGCGGTTTTGTAAGATAACAACTAAATCAAATACCAAAACAGTGGTAGAAGTAGTCCTACCATCCGCTAGGGTCATGTCTACACTTTTTGTGGAAAAGGGTACCTCATCCTTCAAGAGGATATCTCTTAGCTGAGAGCCAGCAATGCTGCACTGTGCTCCCGAATCAAGATAACAATGACCTACATGACCTTCAATAGTGACCTGAACAATGGGTTTAGTTGATAGGTTTGTGGCAAGCTGTTGGTCGAAATTAACTGTTTCAGCAAGCATAAATTCAGATACTGCTGAGGATTTACTGGATGATTTGCATTTTGGACAATTACTCTTAATGAATCCAGGAGTCTTACATCCATAACACGAAATCTGATTCGAAGTAGAAAAGGTTGGTTTGGGGCTAGTACGAGAAGTTACTAAAGGAGGATTAGGTTTGGGCTCAACCGAAGATTTTCGAGAATCTGCTTCCCTGGTTCTGGCTGCGGCCAATTTTCGACATTCATCCTTCACGTGACCTGGATTTTTGCAAAAGCTACACCGCACCCGTTTTGATTCGTTTTCGTTTTTAATATTTATTTCCGGATTTTCATACGATTCTTCAGTTTGCCTCGCTTCTTTTAAGAGTTCGCTAAATGTATTGATCTTATCACGTGCTACTTTTTCACGTATTCTCCTATGTAATAAACCGTATACCATATCTAATTGAGTGGCTTCGGTTAATGTATCTGCCGGTAACTGAGCTATTATCGCGCGCGCTTTGCATACAAAAATGTCACACGGTGTTTTAGCATCTTGTTCCGTCGAAAACAGTTCCCGATATACTCTGTAGGCTGGTTTTTGAGGTCCAAAAGTCGATCGTAATAAATTAATGGCGCTGGCCCACGTGTTTACCGTATTTTTAACACCTTGAAACCACGTGGCGGCGAAACCGTCTAGCAGCATGGGTATACCCTTTAATGCGTTCGCGTCAGACACGTGGCTGCACTCTTTATAGATCTCGACCGCATCTATAAAAGCTTTTACATCAGCCCCCTTTGATCCATCGAAGCGAGAAGCGCATTTTGCTAAACTACCCGAGTCCGAAATAGGCCTTGCTATTGTATTTAATAAGGCTTGAAACTGTTCGCTTGTTAAATTTACTGACGACATTTCTGCTGATGTTGATTCGCTTGAACTAAAAACCGTCGCCGACCTAAGCGAATAACTGTGTTTATCGTTTGTTGCCGTGATTGCAAATTTAACACAAAAATAGTAATAAAAATTAAAGGCTTACAGTTTCTGTTGCTTATTTCTTGTAAATACCCTTGAATGGAAGCTTGATATTCCCACAGGATGTTTCTGAATGGTCTGTAGTGGAAGATTGATATTCCCACAGGATGTTTTGAACGATCTGTAGTGGAAGATTGATATTCCACAGGATGTTTTTGGATGGTCTGTGCGGAGTTTCCACAGCAGTCACATACACAGTAGATTTATTGTTGTGAAGCACTAAACTAAGTGAAAATGTCCACTAATCACCTTACAATGGCGGGAGCAAAAACACTTTTTACTGTTCACAATTAAACTTTACGATTTTCACAGTACGAACTACACTTTAAACTATTTTGCCCAAGTTGGGTGCCAGTTGTGATGTGGGTATTAGTAAAAAATAGTTAGGTAATGACTGTGAATATTGATTTATAGGATTTTATTAAAAAAGAAAACCATATGTTATAATTTTAACCTACATCTTAGTGAGGTAGGTGATCTGTGATCTTACAACAAAACATATCTATCTGTCTCTTGTCACCGTTCACTCTCGGTGGACACTGTCATGGTTACTTGGTGGTATTCAGCCACGGAGCGGTGTGGCTGTTACAACATGATATAAGAACTATGTCAACACCATCCTGCAGTAAGCATAAGAATCAAGTAAAAATCACACCAAAGTCAATTAGACCATTTCCAAAAGCCATAAGAAAAGAAAATAAAAGTAAGCGAACCCTAGGAATTTCAAGAATTTATACTGACACTCCTGAAAAAGAAAGATTGGAAAATATTGTACAACAAAAAGGAAAGTAAAAAAAGAGGTGTTAAGCGAAATGTGTTTAAGAATAACATGCAGGCAAAAGAAAACAAACTCCCCAAAAAGAAAGTACAGATGGAAAACGTTTCTGATTCATAATCAACCGAAAATGGCGCGTTATCTCTTCATGACGATTCAGGTGAAGATTTGAGTGACAAATTTTATGAAATTGAGAGAGTTGATCAACAAGATCTTAAAAAAGAAGATTTTGTTTTAGTAAGATTTATGACTAAATCCAAACTGATTCATTTTTTGGGGCAAATTTTGGAAATTTCACAAGAGGCAACAAAAATTTAATTTTTGAGAAGGAAGGTTAACTCAACTACTTTTTATTTCCCACAAATTGAAGACATAAGCGAAGTGGACAATGGAGACATTATCAGCAAATTGAAAACTCTAACAAAAACTGGAACAACGAGAACAGCTTCATATTTTAAGTTTAGTTACAATTTTAGCACCTTAATTGTTAACTGATTTTGTTTAGGTGGGTCATTATTGTTATTTTTTCACTACATTGTGTTTTACTCTTGGTATTTTTTCTAAAATAAAGTACTTTTTCAAAACTTTTTTCTTTTTTTATTCCTTTAAATATCCTTTTTTAACATAGTGGAATGCTCCCCTCCATCTGGTCGAATGCTCCCTAGGGGTGGGGAGCACTAGTGGGGAAAATTTTTTTTTGCTGTTAAATTGTTTTATTTATTCTTTAATTTCAGGTTAATTATTTGAACAAAACTTTGATGTAAGGTCCGTCCCAAACCCTTTTTTCAGTGCGTCACTAAATGTGACGTCGTATAGGATTTTAAGAATGTCGAAAATTATTGCTTGACATTTTAGTTAAATCTGACAGTTGCAGGAACGTAATCGACTAAATGTGAAAAGGTTATTTTTTTAAATAGGTATGCAGTCTTTGTTCTTTCTCGGTATATCTCGGCATATTTAAAATATTTTTATGACAATAAATACAAAATTAAATTTTCACTGTAAAATGTCTGAAAATACTAACCTGGAACGACAATTATCATTTTATCAGTTGACATTGTGAAAGTATTGTCATGATCAAGATAATCTGCGTCAAATTATATTTATGCGCATCATTGATTGGATATCTATTTAGCGTATTCTAAACTCCAACCAATTATACATGCGTAAGTATAATTCGCTTTAATATGCAAATACTCGTGAACGATACATAATTTTCTATGTTCTATGTATAATAATCAAAGACTCACGTCTTTTTCTGTCACTTCTAGCTTTATGCGTTAGAGAGAATTCGATCAACTATGACGCACTGAAAAAAGGGTTTGGACGGACCGTACCTATTAATGCTCTTTTATTTTAAAAATATGCATTTAACAAATTTTATATACAAAAAACCATTTTGTGGTCGAAAGCTTCCCTCCTTCCCCTACATTATAGTTTTTTTCTAGTACCAAAGTTCTAGTAATATAGAAAAGTACCCATTTCTATATTACAATATTCATCTTAATTTCAGATTTGAATATCAAGTGAAAAACCCACGTCCATGTCAGCTGATTTATTCAGATTATAAGAAAAGACATTTTTCTTCATTAGTTCCAGGAACTGAAAAGACCAAACCCGCCTCCAGATGTGCTATGTCTTCACATATAAAAAGAAATAACAAAAAACGAAACGTTTCTAGATACATGTGTAAATAATGTGACGTAGGTTTGTGTGTGGTTCCATGCTTCGAGAAATATACTAAAGAAACGTTTTTTTTAAATGTGTTCTTCAAGCAATCGATTTTGAGAAAACTGATTTTTTCAAAGTTTTTCAATAAAAGATATGTATAAAATATTCATTTAAATAAAAAAAATGTGTCTACAAAATAAATATTTATTAAACAAGTCCTTAATTTTTTATTCTGACTGATATATGTGCCATCCGTCCATAAGGCACGCTAAAAACTGCCGTCTATTTGGCAGTGGCACTGCAAGGGAAAACAGGTACCGTCCTGAAAAGGTTAATCTACTTTCCGCACCCTTTACAATCCTTCGCCAAAGATTTAATTTTTCCAAACTGGTCTTTGTTTTTGTTTCCAGTTCTTTTCTTCTAGTTTGCCAGCCTTTTATCTTCTCTTTCTTCTTTTGTCTATTCTGTCTCTTTGTAAAGTCTGATTTTAGTCTTCAGGTCTATTCCTTGTCTGAGACTACAGTAGTTTTATTTATTGCATAGTATAAATTGTTTGTTTTATTTATCCTGTAAATTGTTTGTTTTTTCTTTGATATTTTAACATACAAAAATGTAAGTGTGCTTATTGTGTATAAACAATAAAAAGCAAAATAAAACGATAACAATATATATAAATTTGCCTCCATACAAATATTTACATAATAATTAAACAAAAAGTTAAAAATCACCAAACAGTGACTCAGAATCAACATCTTCCAATACGGATTTCCATATTTCACTATCCTTTTTATCGGCTGTAACGGACATCTCACTACAACTTATCACTACATTTTCGGCATCAATCGGTTTAGGTGTGCTTATATCAATGGCAACTTTTTTAAAATCAAACTTTTTCTTAGATTCGTGTTGAACTATGCCTTTCTCTAAATTGAAATTTTCTGGTAAGTTATTCACATTTTGGTTGTATGCAGATATATGATTTATCTTTGGCAACAAAAAGTTGCTACAGCTGGACTGCTGATTATTAAGCCTTGGATTTGATAGTGGGGCATTGTTTTGAGGAGAAATATTTATACCTCTCGAAGTATTGTTAAAATTGCTAATACTTTTATTCTTACCATAAGGTGTGTTATTTATATTTTTTAAAAGGTTTTTATTATTTTTTGATACTTTGGCGGTATTTGAATTTGCTTCTTTCCAAATATTTTCAATATTATAATGTTGCAATACGACTTTTTCAAAAGGCTCTTTTATTTCTGTATTATCAGCATCTTTCTTATTTGGATCTCGTATATGGTAAATAACAAGCACATTTTTTGAAGTTATTGTAATGCAGTGTCCTTCATTGGAGTTTAAAATACCAAACTGTTTTAGAACCACTACTGAGCTGTGGTAAAATATTTTGAATGGTCTTTATAGAATCTGTGAAGTATTACACCATCGATGGTACCTAGAACAATTGAATATGTTAAAAAGTTACATAATACCTTCACATTATATATTAATACATTGTTACAGTGATTAGAAAGAAGTGTAATATTGGTGACACCGGTGGGATATCTATTCCTAAGACACCTATATCTACTATTATTTCTAGTGTGACTGTGACGGGCTTCTGGATGTCGATATAGGCAACCTTCTGGCCCCATTCTTTGATTCATCTTTTCCTGCCTGGGATCAGCTTCTGCCATTACTTTTCAAATGTCCTATTCTTCCGTAATTAAAACATCTGTTTTCATTTTGAAATTTTTGTTGAAGATTTTGCAGAATGCTTAAAATTTGGAGTAAAATAGGTTGTTGATTATCTACAGTAGTAGCTTCCTCGTTTTCTGGAAATCTTATTTCTTTTAATTTTGGCAAGATCTGGAAATACTTTCATCGCTTCATACTTCTGGGCTGAGATTAGCGCTCCATTTAACGTTTTGTGATAATGTAATCGAAGAGCTTGTTGCATTTGTTGTATACTAATTTGTTCCAGAAAATATTTAGGTGCCTGAGGGTATGCCAAATGCAATAACTTTTTAATATCCGTTTCCAATTCTTGCAGGCTTTCGTCTTGTTTTTGATATCGAACTTTCAGCTGACGTTGGAAAACCTACTTTAGATACTGCTGGCCATATTTTATCTCTAGACCTTGAACGCGAGAGGTATAACTAAGTACATCCTAGGAAGAAAATGCAAGACGGTTGCTGCCTGTCCTCGACAGGACACTACCAAGGGAGTTCCCATTTCTTCCTGAGTCCAGTCATTTGCTCTAGATGCAGCTTCGAATTGAAAACGAAGTTTCTCATGCTATTTAATCATTAAATGTAAGTGGTTTTAAAATTTTGAAAAGAAGAAATTATCTATTCTACTAATAATTTGACTTACTTCTAACTTAAAATTTTCATGAATTTGAAATCAACTATTTATGATTTTCAACTCTACTTTTCTACGCTTTTTCTTTTCCTCTTCTTGTCTACAGTAAAGTACCATAATTGTAGCTAGTGACTCATATTTTATTGATTTTTTATCTTCTTCTTTTTATGTAGACATGACTGTCTGTTTTTCAATGTGCCTCCAGTAAGTTGTCGTTCCATCGTTTTCGTGGTCTTCCTACTGATCGTCTTCCTATTGGGGAACCGTCTTTTGTCGTCTTTACTACTCTATTTGTTGTCATTTGGCTTTTATGATCGTTCCATTCTACTCTTCTGTTTTTTACCCAGTTCTTGATGTTCTCCACCTTGCATATACCTCGTATATCTGTACTGATAACTCTGTCCCATAGTGTCTTACCATCAAATATTGTAAGTGTTTTCATCTCTGCTGTTTCTAACATATTTTTTGTCCTCTCGGTGTCATGTTCAATCAGGCTGTTGTTGACATAACTTTTATCATCAAGCAATATCAATTAATGTGATTTCTGTAACACCACAGTGATGCTCTTTTAGACAGGTTTTCACAAAGTCTTATGGGTGTTAAATTTGAACTCTTTAATCTTCTTCTCATCATCTCATTACTAACCATCCCTTCATTTGTCACGTTCAGATCAATTAACACAGTTCTCCATGTCTATCCTTTAAAACCAATCCACAAATCCAAAACCAGATAACCATGATCCATGACAATAAAACGAAAAGATTTATCACTTTTAATTGACCCAACCTTCATTTAGTGTATCCCCTATTCGAAGAAATAGGGGGATAACCTTCAGGAATACTAAAGGAACTAAAAATTTATATACGTATTTTAAAGAATACTAGGATCACCAGAAAAGTACAGTATCTATAGGCTTTCGATTACGGAAAGCAGTCAAAATTTTCAAACTGTCAAAATGAGCAAACTCCACAAGTTTTGTAAAAGTAATTGGCAAAAAAGGGTCTACTACAAAATATTTTAGTCCAGAGCCGGCTTTAGGAGTGCCAAAAAGAACCGTCTATGACCGAAAAAAACCTGAACCATAATATAACTAAAATGGTTATTTAAAAAATTTCTTTATAAAAGGTATATTAATATAAGAAAAACCCTATCGGGCTACATCACAAAACGTTTTCAGAATAACTATTCAATCATCCGTGCTATCTGGATTTACATGTTTGAAGTTACTAAATATATGAAAAAACCCTTAAAATGTAATTAGATTTATTTTAGATTACATAATCATGATCAGTTGGCAGTACAGCCTTGCAGACGATTTAAGCCAATCTTGCTTAAATCGTCCTGCACAACGTCCAGATACCTGAGTCGTCTCCTTCTTCTTCCGACCAGCCTATTTAGCGTGGTTATTTTAGAAGGATCACTTTCATACAACCGCATATCGTAGAATTTTTACGATATCTGCATCGCCAAAAAGTTTATAGAGTTCCTTCTCCGCAAACCCTGTTCGTTAACTCCGCCATATATGGTCCTCAATACTTTTCTTTCAAAGATTTCTGGTATCTCTTCATCTCGGGTCGTCACTGCCCATGTTTCCGATCCATAGATGAGCACTGGGCGTATTATTGTTTTATAAAGTTTGCACTTTGTTGGTCTTGACATATTTTTCGTTATTAGTTGAGGACTAGGCCAAAATTAAATCGGCTAACCACGCATATTCTTTTTCTTATTTCTTTGGATGTGTTGTTCTAAGTAGCAGAACTCTTCCACCGTTTCTATAGTTGCTTGTTGCACCTTTAAGATATTTTCTTGCATTCTTGATATAGACAGCATATATTCAGTTTTCTGGGAGTTATACAGAAGTCTGATGTGTTTTTAATACGTGTGAAAGCTTCAACTGCTTCATTTCGGGTTCTTCCAATGATCATCATATCGTCAACATATGCCATTATTTGTATACTACTGGTACATATCGTACCCGTTAAATTTATTTCCCAATCTCTCACAACTTTTTTTAACGCTAGATTGAATAGCGTGCATGATAGAGCATCTACCTGGCGCAGCCCTTTGTTAGTTTTAATGGTTCTGAAAGATGTTAGTTTCTGTTAGATTTAATGGTTCTGTAGTCGCTCTTTACATTTAACTTTGTTCATTGTCATTTTAATTAATTCTGCCAATCCTTTTGGTACTCCAAAGTCGAGCATAGCCGACTATAATTGCAGTCTGTCAATAGTATCGTATACTGCCTTAAAATATACGAAGATATAATGGCAGTCTATGTTGTACTCCGTCGCTTTTTCTAATATTTGTCTAATGGATGATATGTGATCAATGGTAGATCTGTTTTTCAAAAAGCCTCTTTGGTATGATCCTATTATATTGTCAGTATACTGTGCCAATGGTTTGTTAAGTACCGGGGACAAAATTTTGTATGCCGTATTAAGAAGGGAAATCCCTCTAAAGTTAGAACAGTAAGCACGTTTCCTTTTTTGTGTATAGGGCATATAATTCCAATAGTCCAATCTTTTGGTAAAGTGCGTTCGTGCCATACCTGTATTAATAGTTTGTGAAAGAGGATTACAAATGTTTGACCGCCACATTTAAATATTTCTGCGGGTAGGTTATCTGCTCCGGGTGACTTGTTTCTGGCTAGAGACTGAATTGCTTTATTCATTTGTTCCAAAATTGGTGACATTAGTAGCTCAGTTTCCTCTTGTTCTAGTTCTATATAAACTTCACCGTCAGCACTACTTTCTCCATTAAGTAGCGTACTAAAATGTTCTTGTCACCTTTTTAGTACTTCTAATTTGTTGAATTAACCTGTTTGTAGAATTGTCTGTGTTCGTGTTCTTCAACAATCTTCGTCTTTACTCAATATTCTTCAACATTACTCTTAGCCCTTCTGTTGATCATTTTCAGATATGCGTCATTCTTCTCTTTGGTTACTCCTTTGCATTCCTCATCAAACCAGTTCTTTCGCTGCCCTTTGGGTTCTTCACATCATCTGGAGGCTTTTGCAGCGTGGTTTTTATAAACTCCCAATTTGTGTTGGGATCTACTTCACTTCTGGAATGTTCTGATAGTTTACGATCTAAACATATTTGAAAATTTCTTACGACGTCAATACATTTTAATTTATCAACGTTATATTTGTACATTTTTGGCTTAGTCTTATCGTTCCTGACATTTGATATACATGCTCTGGGATTGCCAACTAGGAGATAGTGATCAGAGTCAATATTGGTGTCTATAACTTCTGCAGTCTAGTACATTTGTACGTCACTTGTGTATGTCACTTTACATATACGCCTATGTTGGAAGTATGTACTACTGATCGTCATGTTTAGAGATGCTGCGAAATTTACAAATCTCGTCCCATTACCATTACATTCTTCATGTATGCTATGAGGTCGTATATTGGACCTGTACATCTCTTCTTGTCCTACCTTAGCGTTCATGTCCCCAATAATCAACTTAATGTCGTTATTGGGACATTGTCTTTGTTTGTTCTAATTTCTGATATAATTCTTCTTTTTCTGTCTTTATCCTTGGTGGAAGCATGTGTATTTATGAGACTGTAGTTAAAGAATGTTCCTCATATTCGTTAAAACACATATTCTATGATATATAACGTTAAAACCTATTATTAGGTTACTAACTTTTTTGCTAACTACAAAGCCTACACTAAAGATGGCAGCTATAGTATATTGTATTAAAATTCTTCCATGATCAAAATTTAATATCCTTTTTCCGTTTGCTAGATTGTCTACATGTGGTCTGTCCGGTGTGTTTTTTCAGGTCTTGTAACAATGTTTTTTTTTTTCAAGATAGGGTCGTTACCCCTACGCCCAACCTCCGTACTCGGAGGACCAGGGACTCCTCTGTTAGGGTTACCATACCTTAGTCGGTTTTGGTTCGCGGATAGTATTTTATTTCCCACCTACCCGCCGGTCCTAGGGATGCGTCCGTGGGAGACAGACAACTACATACGGATTTAGATTACATCTTTGAGTAATCTAAAATTAATCCAACTACATTTAAAGGGTTTTTACCCATGTATTTAGTGGCTTTAAACATGTAAATCCAGATAGCACTGATATGGAATAGTTATTCCAAAAATGTTCTGTGATGTAGCCTGATACTTCTTCTTCAAGTGCCCTGTCCGTTGCGAACGTTGGCGATTAACATGGCAATTCTGATCTTGTTTGCGGCGCTTCTGAACAGTTCGACCGATGTGAGCCCGAACCACGTCCGCAGATTTTGGAGCCACGAGTGTCTTCTCGCCTGGCCCTCGCTTACTGACTATTTTTCCCTGGACAATCAACTGCAGTAGATGGTTCTTATCGTGTCTCAATATGTGCCCTAGATATTCAAGCTTTCTTTATTTAATTTTAAGCTTAATAGCCTAAGTTTAATAGCCTGATACAGTTTTTTATATTAATATACCTTTTATAAATGAATTTTTTAAATAATAATTTTTGTGATTTATGGTATACAGCCAACTACAGGAATTGAATTTCCTTGTGTAAAATATAACTCTTACTGGAAAAATATACCTGGTCAAGCACACATTAGCCAGACATGTTCTAATATGGATGATGTACTGTAGAAAACAAGCAAGCACCAGCTCAGAATCGTAACCAGCTTAACTACTGGATATGGGCCAATCAAGAATCATCTGCATATAATAGGGCTGTTTCATGCAGACTTAAGCTGCAAACTCTGTATTAGAAAAACCTGAAACAATCAACCAAATCCTACAAGACTGTGAAGTACTAGATTTTAGGCAGCAAACACTTTTTGGACACTACAAAGACTAACCCTACTCCAAAAATTTATGGTACTCATCTCCTACATCTATACAACCTGGTACTGAGTTCCAAAATTATGATATGAGTATCAAGATATATAATAAGCTAATTGGCTACAGTATCACAAGTTTATAAGAGAATACTTAAGGAGGAGACTAAAAAAAAGTGAATAATCTTGGGCAAGCACTGATGTGAAAAAAGCTAATACTTTCTTAGAGTATATGAAGTAACTATTTCAATATATTCCATTGCAGAACATGCCAAAAACAGAAGCAGAGAACAATAAAATTTTTGAAGTTCCATATCAAATGTCCCAAACACAAAAACTGTTCAAGATCAAAGAGATGCATCCAGCAATCACAAGTAATTTTAATGCAAACATTTTTTTACTTACCTGTAGTATCCTTTAAAGTTATGTGTACTGATGGAATTTTACCATCAACAATTTCTAAATTTTGAATAATAGCAGCTAAAAATGGGGCTTTATAATTGTCTAAAACTCGTTTCTGGCAATACTTTTTTTTTATCCAACTAATAGTAAACTTATTATAAAGCTGCTCATCATTGCTACTAGAGAAATCTTCTGTCATTAGTTTCCATGGACCCTCTGTAAAAGTGGATACTGATCTTTGAGAACAGAAGAAAAACTCCTAAAAGGTTTTTGGAATATGTTAAATATATTATTCTAATTTTGACCATAATAGTATTTTCTATAATATGTTTCTTTTAACTGAAACATCGTTTAACCGAAATGGCTGAGAATTTCAATAATTTCGTCAATAAAAAGTAATTTTTTATTGCAAAACGTAGACAATTCCATTAATTTGTCAACATCGTCAAGATTGCTTTCACACAACTAAAGAATGCAATTAAATACTCAACACATGTTTTTTATTACTGTAGCTATTTAATATGTTTGTATAATATGTACTATATAATAGGTAAAAATAAAATATTAAAAAACGCTTTGAGAGCGCAAATCGCCTGTTTGTTTATTTCTCGTTATCGATGACTCCCTGTTATGACACATTTCGTGCAGGTGACCGTATCTCATTCTTAAGTCTGTTCTTTGGTGCTGTATTTGTTTGTGCATATTATTTTTTTTTTTTATTTTTAACTCTGCCTGGGGGTTATGAGCGCGATGACTAGGTGGATTGAGTAGCTCAGAAGTCGTGTTCATGCCCACAGTCGGTCCCAATCCCGGATAAAAGAGGAGGGTTGATGGGCCAGGTTAGCATCCTGCCCATTGTAAAAGGAAACAAGGCTGAAAAAAACCGATATAAAGCCTTGGAACCAGACGGAACCTAAGATGATGTATAAAAGAAACATACCAATCAATGTTATACAAACCATCGAAAACATCTACCTTCAAAATCGAATACAGGCAAAGATAAATGGAAAACTAACACAGTGTATAACAGTACAAAGCGGAGTCAGACAGGGTGACTCAGTGAGCCCACTTCTCTTTAATATAATAATGGACGAAATAATACAAGCAGTACGTAAAGGTCATGGCTACAGAATGGGGAACAAATAAATCCAAATATTATGTTAGGCAGACAACGCCGCATTAATCGCCGAGACAGAAGACGAGCTCCAAAGATTAACACATATCTTCAATATAACAGTTAAGAAATACAATATGATAATATCAGCAGAAAAAACCAAATGTATGACAACATCTAAATACCCACTACGGTGTAAAATCGAAATAATGGAAAAATAATAAAGCAGGAAGCAAGGTTTAGATATCTGGGAATAGATATAACTAGTTACGGAGATGTTGAAGAAGAAGTACGACAACAAAGCTTAAAAGCAAGTAAAGCGGCGGGTTCTCTTAATGACACAATCTAGAAGAACAAACAGCTAAGACAAGACACAAAAACAAGAGTCTATAAAGCAGGAATTAGACCTATATTAACATTCACGGCGGAGACAAGACCTGACACATCTAAAACGAAACGACTACTAGAAACAGCAGAGATGAAAATACTTTGACGAATATCAGGGAGAAGTCTGTTGGATAGAGAGAGAAGCGAAAACATAAGAAGAGCATGCAATATAGAAGACATAAATGGATGGGTGACAAAACGAAAAACAGGAGTGGAACGAACATATCAGTAGAATGGCAGAGGATAGAATAGTACGAATAGCACGAGATAAGTCACCAAATTGACGAAGAAGTATTGGCAGACCAAGAAAAAGATGGTGCGACAATTTAAACAATTTAGGAGGCTAATATTTAAGAAGATACAGGCTTTAAAGCCTACATACTAAAAGAAGAAAAAGAAGATTTGATGAAAGGAAATGAAAAGCAAATTAGGAACATGCTTCGAAAATACCAAACAAGAAAACAATGAAACCAAGTCAAAATTAGAAGGTAAATGAAGCTGTCTATTTGTGGTTCACACAACAAAGATCCAAAGGAATAGCATTATCTGGACTAACAATAATTCAAGAGAAGGCAAAAATGTTACCTGAGATGATGGGCGATGAAGGTGAAGAATTTAAAGCAAGTTCAGGCTATCTAGACAAATGAAAAATAGGTACGCTATTCATCAAGTTAATTTATGTGGAGAAAAGCTATCTGCTGACCACGATGGAGTAAACATTTTAAAAACTGAAATGGATGACTTATTGGCGAACTACATTAAAGATTAAATTTACAACAGAGATGAGACTGGATTAAATTTCAAAATGCTGCCCAAAAATCACTTGCATCAAAACATAAATACAGTGCACCGGGCCTAAAAATGAATAAAGAACGAATATCAGTTCTACTTTCTAGCAATGCAGCAGGAACTCACCGATTAAGGCCTATGTATTTTGGTAAATCAAAAAAACTAAGAGCTCTAAAAGATATTTCCGAAAAAGCACTTTCAGTTTTTTATAGAAGCATGAAGAAAATGAATTCGTCCCAAGTGAAAAATCCTTTTTAAAATCAAAAAATCTTCCTATCTAAGTATTGTTACTTGTTGACAATGCGCCAACTGACCCTCAAAATCTACAAAATAGTGACATAATTATCAGATTTTGCCACCGAAAGTTACGAGCTTAATTCAGCCATTAGATCAGGGAGTAATAGAAACATTCAAGAGACATTATAGAGGAGCATTCTTAAGATATCTGTTAATACAGGAAACAAATGAATCCAAAAGTGTTCCCGAAATTCTCAAATCTTTAACAATGAAATATGTTATTTTTTGGTGTGCTGAGTCGTGGGCCAAGATCAAATCTTCAACTTTGGAAAAATTCTGGAACAAACTTTTTGATGGGATTTTGATTGACGATCCTAAAGAAGAAAATGTTGAAGAAACGACAGAAGAAATTGAGCCATAATAAAAAATTTGCCAGGATGTGGCGAAATTAAGAAATGTGAGGAATAGTGCCCTCACCTGCCCGTGAGATGATCTAGATCGTGATCATCCGGTACATTCTGCTAGATAACAAACGAGGCTCTGGCATCCGAGTGATTGCCGGTATAAGTAATCCCCCACTTACCGACCAACAGCTTCGGGTGGAAGAGTCGGTAAATGGAAGGGCACCTTCTTGTCTTAGAAATGGAAAATCATTTCTAAAGGCGGACGAACCAGACATAGTCAACGGCGTGGAGATGCATAAGGCAACGGGAAACCAATGCATTAAAGGCTCATACAGCATCCCTAGTTAATCACCATGACTAACAATACAACTAAACACTCTACTGATCATGAAACTCGGAAAACAAGATCCGGCAGAGGAGGAAACTCACAAGACTGCAAAGCCTCCCCGGTCGTCAACATGCGAAAACCTTGCAAAGTTGCGACTTGGAATGTTAGAAGTCTACATCAAGCAGGAAAAGTGCATAATGCCGTTAAAGAAATGGAAAGGCTGAATATAGATATTTTAGGAATCAGCGATGTCCAATGGCACGACTCAGGAAAGATAATCAACAATAAAACAATATATTATTCAGGAAGTCAAGATGGTTCACAGAGATATGCTGTCCGGATAATATTAAACAAAAACATTGATGAAGCTGTAATAAATGTCACTCCATACTCCAACAGAATTTTATACTCTTAGAATTAAACCAGAACAAACCCAAAATAAACATCCTACAAGTTTATGCTCCAACTGCAAACAAACCAGAGAGCAATATTGAAACTTTCTACGAAGACCTAGACAACATTTTAAAATCCATTAAAACGCAAGATTTAACAATTATAATGGAAGACTTTAACTTTAAGGTTGGGGAAGAAAAAGTAGCAGAATGTACAGGAGGATATGGTCTGGGTAACAGAAACGAAAGGGGTGACAGGCTTATCAAATTTTGCCAAAACAATAATTTAGTTATAGCTAATACATTGTTCAAAATGCCCAAGAGAAGACTATATACCTGGAAGTCAACAGCAGATCAAGAAGAGAGAATTGTAAGAAACCAAATAGACTGTGTAATAGTTAGACAAAGATACAGGAACGCAATTATATCCGCAAAAACCTATCCAAGTGCCGACATAGGATCAGATCACAACCCAGTAGTGACCAAAATTAGGCTCAAAATGAAAATAATAAAGTGAAGAACAATAAATGCAAAAATCGATACAAGTAAATTGAGAAACCCACTGATAGGGCAACGCCTGGCAGATGAAATCAACAACGGATTAATGAATGTTAAAGGACAAATTCTGCAAAATACTGAGACTGAGAAAAAATGGTTATTAATAAAGACAGAAATAGATAAAAGTCAAAAAGAAATTCTAATACAAACCAGATATAAAAAGTAGCAATGGATGACGGAAGAAATTTTAGATTAATGGAAGAAAGACGTCAATATAAGAACAAAGATAGTCAGATGTACAAAAAAGTGGATAAACAAATAAAATACAGAATTAAGAAAGTGAAATAACAATGGCTAAAAGAACAATGCGCAAAAATAGAAGAATATCAGAAAAGACATGATAGTTTTAACACATCTAAAAAAATAAAGAATTAACTCACAACAATAGAACAAGAAAACCAGGAATACTGAAAGATGCAAATGGAAAACTTGTGTTGAATACTAATGACAAATTAAAGAGATGGACAGAATACATCAATGAACTATTCAAAGACAATAGAACAGAACAGATTGAGATAGAAGTAGAACAGGATATGGTTTTAAAGATATTAAAAGAGGAAATTAAAATGGCATTAAAAACAGCAAAAATGGTAAAGCATTAGGTCCAGACGAAATCCCTATAGAAATCTTAAAATGCATGAAAGATGCAACCTTAGACATTATAGTAGACTTATTTAACTCAGTATATAAAACAGGACACATACTGAAACAATGGTTACTCTCCGCCTTTTGTGATATCCCTAAAAATACAAACGCCAAATATTGCAGTGAATACAGAACAATATCACTAATAAGTCACATTCTCAAACTATTCCTGAAAATAATACATGGTCGTATAAATATAAAACTGGAAGAAGGAATAGATGATAGTCAGTTTGGGTTCAGAAACAGACTAGGAACCAGAGAAGCGTTATTTGCTTTTAATGCGTTAACTCAAAGATGCATGGATATGAATGTTGATGTGCATGTTTGTTACGTTGATTTTGAAAAAGCATTTGACAAAGTAAGACATGAAAAATTAGTCCAAATTCTAAAGACAATGAACATAGA